CCCCAAAACCCCAAAACCCCAAAACCCCAAAACCCCACATTTTACAGCCTTGGTTGAAATATTTACTCTAAATTATGTTGAATTTTCTTTCTTTTTCTAGTAAAATTCTTTGGTTGAGCTCCTTTTTGGACTTGCTTGATTTTTCCATTGCTAGGATTATAACTCAGAAAGACTTACTTTCGCTTTGGATTGACTCTAAATTTAGCAGGATCCTAGAAGTTCAAGTTTAAATTTCTTACAGCAGACCAGTTCCGCTCTTTAAAAAGTCTCAAACGGAGATTTTTCTTCTTTGCTTTTTGGGTTTCAGTATCATTCCTTCTAAAACGTTGTTGAGATTTCCTGACAAGTTTCTCAGAAATGTTTGCTATATTTTATCCGAAAAGGAATACACTTGGAAAGACTCTCTCTGTTGCGAGTGAAAATCTGGATGTCACTCTCCGTCTTCTTTGAACGAATCTCCCAGGGATTACGGCTCTTTACAGCACTCTGCATTCTCTTACGAATACTTGTGATATGCCTATCTAGATAAATATTTAGAGGAAATTTAAAACTGCCAGGACTGGATAACTTTTGAGAAGACAATAAATTCTGAGCTAAAACTTTTTTTGAAGCCGAACTGTTCTTTAAATGTATCATAATTTAGCATCCAGGGAGTAAAGGATTCATACCGATCTCATTTATTCTGTATTTAGTTGCGATTTTATCAAATTCCTGGCTATTAGCAAGGTCGTTATTTGTTCCCTTTGACCCACTGGTTGTACATCATTTCAACAGTTTGGTCTTCATCCTTAGACTTCTGACAGGCCGAGACACTAAGAAATTAACTAGAAGTTATACACAGCAGGCTGGTGCTTGGCAAAAGGAATGTCTATTGTGCCTGTTAGAGACTTCTCTTGTTCATGGAATTTCTGCTTTATTTTGACTAAAATTTAGGATGAATAATACCTTCAGGAGTTTCTGGTCTGTCAGGTCTCTGACTGAATCGAGATAGTCTGAGATCCTTCCTTTTCTTATGATTTTTGCTACAAATTATATGGAAAATTACAAGCTCCTGGAACCGATCGGATTGAGGTAGATCGAAGCAGTGACTTCTGGGGGGTTAGCAAATTTTATATTTGTATGGATGGACATCACACTATTCTTTTCACTAATTTTGGCATTTTCTCTTTGGATAAATGCACTATTTTTGCCTCGGAAAGTTAATCCTTGGCACTTTCTGATTCGCTCTTTCCTTTATTTTAAAAGCAGGAGTTTTATAAGCCTGAGCGTTTGGCTTCCAGGAGTACTTGGTTGTTGAAGGGGAAGTCTCCATGACAGCTTCAGCTACAAAATTAGCTAAATATAGGGTTCCTTACTGTATCAAATTGGTAAATCTTTACTGAAGTAACTACTCAGATGAGGATTTGGTTGTCAATTCTCATATGGCTTTGAAGCATACATTCTTAATTTTTATTTATTCAAAATTTCTCCAAAACAAGGGGTTTTGGGGTTTTGGGGTTTTGGGG